GCCTCAATGTACTCACCTCTACAAGTTCATTTAAGTTATCAAAATATTCCTCTTCATCTATTGTTAACTTGTTTAGTTTATATATGATGTGATAATGTTCAACACTGTTTTTATGGGCAACACACAGCGTGTAGTCCCCAGGATAGTTGGTGCTCTCGCGTACAAGAAACAATCCCTCTTCTCGTGGCTGTAATAATTCTTCTGCCTGCTCACGCTTGATTTTACCATGAAACCACCTGGAATGTTTAAAATACACTGGTTTCAGAGGTCTTGCAAAAACATAAAACACACTCGATGCATGGGAGAAAAAGGCCTTTCCTTCATGGCATGTGATAGTTGCTTACTTAAATGTAGGTCCAACTTTTACTAACTTATCCTCAAACTCATTCAGCTTATGTTTATGACAACATTTTATGACAAAGTACTCGTATATATGTATATACATATGTATATAAAACTTTGCTCACTGAATTCAAACAAACTGGCATGTTATTTTTTCTAAATTAATTACCTATGGTCAAGATATGTTCCTGAACATATCTTGACCATAGTGAATTTTAAATCCAGGTCTACTAGTCGAGCAATTCATAACTGAGCTTTGCACGTTAGCTCAAGCAATACTCACAAATAATACCCTTTCCTAGTCTAATTCCTACAACATTTTTTTATATCCTTCAATTTCATGTGATAAATGGTGTGAGCCATACCTGTTATCACACAGATACTATCACATATGGAATGTACATTTAGACTGAGCTCTGGCTAATGCATCATGCCCTAGCTCCTAGAGCATATTCAAACAAAACACTTCTAACAAGATAAGACAAGTATTAGGGAACCTTTGACTGCATACACCTGACAGATACAGTAGTTAAGAAACAGGGCTTCATAACCACTTTTTATGTTTAAATAGTAAAACATTTTTATACACAACTTCAAAGAATAGAAATCTTTTCTTTATATATAATATTTTATTTTTAACAATGCCAAAAATCTGCGTAAAAAGGAAATACTCCTCTTTAAAAAAAAAGAAAAGCACTACCATATTAGTATGCTAATGTAAGAGAAAACTGATCCTAATTTTCTAGAAGGTAAGTAAAAGTTGCCACCTGAAAACAAGTTACTATGACTAACAAAGAATGATACACCTGGAAAAAATTGTCAAGTGTTTTCAGTTTGTGACTAACTATCACATCACATATCTTAAATACATGGACAGGAAGAAATACGAGATAAACTCCATATGTCATCCTAATTAGACCACAGCAGTTTACTCAATCTTTACATCAGCATGTTTCTCACTTCCATGATTTGGACCTTCTTATCTGACATTTTACCTCCTCCAATAGTTACTTTTCCGCTTGGTTTTATAATCTGATAAGCTATTTGAAGAGGCAGAAGCACCAACCATCTATGCAGGAAACATGAAACTGGTGGTTTTTCTCTGATTTATAACAATACTTCCTAGTAAAGGCCCAAAGACACCATCCATATTTGGGATTTCAGCATGAAAAAGAAAAAAAAAAATAGAATTTTCTCTAAAGAACTGACCATCATTCTTTAACTGTTCCTTTAGGAAATGAGTATTTGCAAAAGTGCAGTTAGCTGATTTTTTCTCTGCCAGTCTGTAACCTTAATTTTCCTCTTTAAAAATATTTCAAAGAGAACCAAAGCCCCCCCCCCCTTTTTTTTGCATGGATGTCAGTCAACCCCACTTCTAACCTGCAGCCATTGTTTTCATTACCTCTTAGAGTTCAGAGTTTTACCAAGTACCAAGTTCCAACACAAGCAACTCACCTTACTGTTGCTACAAGACACCAGAGGCATGGTCTAATCATTTATTGTACAAACAGCAGTGTGTGGATTAAGTTCTGCATAAACATTACTACTGTTAACTTTAACATGATTATGGCTGTAAGCTTCACATAAGAAGCACATTAATTGATGCTCCCTTGGGTGAAAACGGTCCTTTAATACAGAGCTGTATGGGTATACCTAGCTGAACTATAAACATGAACATAATGTTAATTAGTAATAACAAGCTACTGACTGGTGCCATGGATAGGTTGAGTCTGCTCAATTTAAAACTGTATGCCATAATTAAATTGTCAACACTGGAAAACATACAAGAACAACCCAATAACATAAACCAAAATTAAGGCAACACCAATTAGTAGTAACCAAATAAATGTGAACCAACTACATACTTACTAGTTAGCCAGCCCTTCATTGTGTGTTATTTCCCTAGGGGTATGTGATGAAATTTCACTAAATGAACAGAAAAATTCTTTTAATACTTACGGCATAGCATGCAGCTTGACTTCAGATCTTTTTTGCACATAGTTTGCAGGAATCATTCCCTCTTTGTTGTCAGACCTTCTGGCGTGGTACCACATCGGGTCCTGTGAAATTAAGAGGGACGGCTTAGGAAGAGAAATAATTGTGGGCATGCACAGGCACACACACACACTTTAAGTAATAGTGTAGAAATAACCTGTTAATACCACACAGTCCTGCAAAGCACTTGACAATCATTTAACTAAGTACCAATAAAAAGTAATGATTGATATGAAGCTATCACATTCATTTCTCTGTCTAAATGACAAGAAATTATTATCAAACACCTGAGCCCCCACTGATGAAGTACTTAGCTAAATTATTTAGTGTCAACAGAGCTTGTCAACCACAAAATCAATATCAGTAATGAATTTTCCTTGTTTTTGACACATTTGTACATATATTCAAAACACACGAGTTTTATTCCTAATCACAATGCATGCCATCTAGCACAAATGGTAAGTTCAAGATCACATTTCTCTCTACTTAGTATATTACTTCTATAATCTGAGCTATGTAAGAGGAACAACAATATTATCAGCACTTCTAAGTAGGAACTGCTAGCAATGATATCAACAGCATGTCTCCACAGCACAATACTATCATAAAGATACATATACAGCGAGTGTGGATTGCCAGTAAAGCATATGAACCACTTCTGATAGTTTCTTTAAGTCTTAAATAAAGTCAACATGCAAAGTCATAAACCAAATTAATCTATCGTTCAGCCAAAAAATAGCTTTAAAACTGCACCTTCTTCAAATTTTGGTCGTAAATTGACCTATTTATCTGACCCTCTTGTTCATAAAGGTCCGCAAAATGACATAGTACTGCATTGCACATCACTCTTACTCCTATGTATGGATGTATAGTTGTGCGCGCAATTCCATACTTATTAATATGAGACTGTTGAGGGATATTTACAGCACAGAAAGAAAGCAGAAAAGTTCGTTCATATATCATTTTTTGGTAAATATGTAACAACGTCCCTTGTTATTTCCTTAAGCTGTACTATTAGAAAACTATAATGTGGCATTTGGTCAGGGTTTGTGGCAAAAATGTGACTTTAAATGCTCCTTTAATTCTTTATTGTATAAAGATAAACTGAAATATTAAGACACTAAGCTGTTAGTGTTTGTAAACTTTCCTCTAATTTACTAGTAAGAGAAGGTAAAGTAATAGGTATGCATCCAAAGTAGTGAGTTTTACTTAGTAAAAAGCATTAAGCACAATGTGAATTAGAAATTCTACAAAAAAAATTGTTTAAAAATACTTAATCACTACTAGTACCCTTTTTCTTCCAAACCGTTACCACACACATACCATATTGCTTAGCCTTACACATGTATCTAGAGACAGTAAGAATGTCCTCAATTGAATTCAGTTTTGAAGTGCCCTTTTTGGACTCCCATTTCCTTAATGTTTAGAAAATATGCGCTGTACCTATGTCTTACACGTTGGGTTTATGTGTGAGGGCCATTAAGAATCTTGACTAAGATGTGGCACATGGCTTCAACTAAAATAGCTGATAAAAAGGGGGAGGAGAATATCACTTAATTCTGAACCAGAAAAAGTGGCTTAGATAAGAGGGTATATATGATTCATCCCCAAGTCGACAAGCTGTCTGCACTGGCCTAGAATTTTTGCTCCAATGTTAGTAGAAAATGTACTAAATGTGTAAAATTTTTACAAGTGGATGAGAAATGTACATATTAGCTATGTGATTTTCCAAACTCATTTGTTAAAGATTCCCTTCAAAACTTTCAGTAGAATGACATGCACTGATGCAAAAAAAAGTTAATGTGAACTTTTATAGACATTTAGTAGTGACAAGTGGTAATTTTAAATCATCGAAATTAAAATAGAATTGATGCAACTCACTGCAGGTTCCCACTTTTAAAGAGACTTTTTTCAGTCAGACACATCCCACCTAACATGGTGCGCCTTACCCTGGTTGCCTTTATTATAGTAAGCACATCTCCTTTCTGAAAGGGTAGATCTTCCCTTGAGTTGCCTTGGAATGTGTAGCGTGCTAGCACCTCCTGCCCTGGCTGCCACTGGTCCTGATGCAGAAAGAGAACATAAAAAAGTATTTCATGAGAATTTTCTCCTGTACACATTGCAAGGAACCAATCATATCTACACAAAAAAAGTGTACTTTTTGCTATAACACATAACACAAAAAGTACTCAATCTAATTCCTTCCTACTTCAGTTACACACTTATTGTGCTTAATAGTTGAAACTGCCCTCAGTTCAGTTTTAAGTGTACCAAAAAGTAAAAGTAAGTGTTTGTTATGACTGTACCCACTTTTTACAATTGTGGAGAAAAAAATATTACATCTCAATTAGGGCAATATTACAATATTTACTGTTCAAGTAAATTAAAAGTGCATTCCATCACAAATACTTCTATTTTTTCAACACACCCACAAATAGTACTAAGCATTCTGTGTACTCATTATATTGTACTTGTTTCCCAGTCAATTTCAAGCACATGTGCTCAAAGTACCATGTATTTTCCAACAGTGAGACACCGTTTCTGCATAAATTTTCATCATGTGTCTACAGAGTAAAACACTTGGTGTCTAAGTTTTATAATGTGTCCTCACTTACTGGTGGTGGCCCTGTTGATCTTGACATGGTTTTTGATCACTTCTTGCCTTATTTTACTGGAATACAGAAGGCTGGGCACAAACCTACAAGAAAATAAAAAACTTTTGTTACTTTCATTGATATCTTACACTGTCTTTTTTTCTACAATTTACGAATGCTTTTTCCTATTAGACATACAATAGGTCACATTTTCTTTTTTTTTTTTTTTACAAAAGACCTTTCAATCAGCCTCAGCAATATAAATTAAAAAAGAAAACCATACAAGGGAAAACAATTACACAGTTTTTCAAAGCGAAAGTATTGGTTCCTGGTGGGGTGGTTTTGAACTTCTAGCCAAATCCTACTGAGTGGAAGATACCTCTTCATCCTCAACACTAGTATCTGATATTTTCAACCATCATGACTCATAAAACAAGAACAGCCTTTGACTCACACTATAAATAAACATTTGGAGATACAGCCCCCTAAAATTCATACAAATGAAGTAAAATGGTTGAGCCTAATATAAGGAAACAGCAGTCTGCTCCAATTGGTGTGACAAACTTTTTAAGTAAAATCATTTAGGTGATAACATAATTATTCAATCAAAATGTGGAGTTTAACCTTCTTAGGTGTTTTTCTCTTTATTTCTTAATTTTTACTTTTAAAAATCAACAAATGGGACTAGAACTGAATACCATGTCTTTTACAGTCAACTTTCTTAAAAACACTTGGTAAGTTGGTTTATTGTGTACTCACTTGGTTTATTATGTTCTATGTCTTAGAAGCACATCCAATTCCTTTCAAAACCATTTGTTTAAAATATATCAGTATAAATAATCAATCAACAAACTAAAACATCACCTCTGGACTATATATATAAATAATAATACATAATATGTCTTTAACCTTGACCCCATGGACATGGAAAGTTCAGAGGCAGAAAGTTTACTAGTAATTGTATTAATAAATGTGCAGCACAGCAAGGGATTGCCAAAAAACACCTCTGAGCTAATCAATTTCTGCTCACACTTTTCAGCAAAGGTCAGACTTCTGGTCAACTCACCTATAAAATGTTGGTTGACCACTAGATGACCACTGAGTAAGTTAATCCTCAATAAGCAGTCTACCAAAATATAAATTGAACTTAAAAACAAAATACTGTAGTCCTCCTAACCATGGCCTGGTATCTTCACATTGAAGGAAATACCAAGAACATTTTAACTTTGAACTCTTTTATCCCCAGTTGAAGGCATGCCATATCCGAAGCTGTTCATAGAAAATTGCAATCCATAAGCCAGTTTTCATCATGTTTTGAGTGTCCTTTTTAGTCACTCTCGTAATGCAGGTAGTAATTGACAATTTTTATTCATTACAGTAAAAAATATAACTCGATAAAAANTCCCTGACAACAACACCACAGCTTTATCTATACTACTATCAACACGTGACAGAAAGCACAAAGCCAGTTACCTTCTGTACCAGATTTCTTGGCAGAAGAAGCAGAGGAAGCAGACGCAGAAGCGAATTTAGCAGGAGACGGCAGCAGAGATAAGCTATCGGCCATTCCAAGACTTTGCGACTGCATTAACATGTGCTTCAGCGTACTACCTTCAGGATATTTGGGCGTCTCCGGCGGTGTGTTCTTTGTTGGGGGAGAGGGAGTGACTGCTGCAAAGGAAAACTCATGATATTGCTGGATCTTTTTCTTTTTTTCATTATTTTTTTTTCAATGTTTATCTGTGACAATTCCAATTATAAAAATAATTATCAAGTATCAAAAGCTGTATGAAATATTGGTTCTATGCGTAAACAGCTAACAATTCTTTTTCATTTAACTGTCAACTAGTTTTAAAAATGTTCTGCTTTGAAAAAAAGATAAAAAAATGAATGCTATGTGCAAAACATTGACTTTTCTATCCCTCTCTTTTTTAACTTTGGTACTGTGCAGCACAGCCATGCACAAACACACAAGCACACTAATAGACAAATAAACGCATGCTCCCGCTCTAACACTCAGACTCCCCGAAATTATAAATTTGAAACTTTCTACCTTGCTTTGCCTTTTTCTTAGCAGTGATTGCATTGTTCATTCTCCTAGATTGTGGAGACAAAGGGGGAGTGTTCTGCTCTAAACTACTTGGTTCAACTACAAGCAATATCAGAAACATTACAGTGAGCTACTCAGCCATAGGGAGGAAGGTAGACAGTATCTCTCTTCTTTATGATTTAAAATAAAAAACAGACAGAAAATTTAAGAAAGAAAGAAATAGGGAAAGAGGTGTATTTCTCTATTGTGTATTTTTCTTATACAAGTATATTTAAGGAGATAAAATAGAAAGCTAGCAAGAAGTAAAAGCTATTCTAACAAATGACCTTGACTGACAGTGACCTTGACCTTACCATTGTTGCCATCTGAATCAATATCTTCATCTGATGAGACAACTTTCTCTTTTTTCTGTCTCTTAAGATGCTCTTCTTTCAACTGCAATGGCAAATTTAGGTTTAAAAATATGGAGCAAATGTCATACACAAACCATAATTAAGATTTCAAGTGGGGCTTCAATCTAAGAAATTTCGATTGAGGTAAAAGGCATTTTGTTTCCGATAGCCATTCACATCTTAACCTTGACTACACAACAGCCTGAACTGAATCAAAATTAATAAATAACTTTGGTTTATCAGCCCATGTATTTTTATATATTTTAAAGAATCCTGCTGAAGAATCTCCAAAACAAGCCAGTAGCAGCAAGCAGGTGAAACAATCTTCTTCTCTCTGACTATTTTGTATTCTTGATGTTACAACCAAATTTTTTCTCCAAGCTCTTTTAATGAAACAGGGCCAAAATTGCCAACCTTTTTCTTCCTCATTTTCTGCACGTCTTGGAACTTCCTTTTTGCCTGAAAGGTTCCTCCAATCAGAAGCTTCTTTCGCTTCAAAAACTTTGCATAGTCCGTTTTCCGGCCCTTGGCTTTCAGAGCTTCCTTCTTTACTCTCAGTCTCTCCTCTCTTCTCTTCTCTCGCCTCTTTTGCTTTTCTTCCTTTTTAAGTCTCTGTGATATCTTGTCTGGTTTTATTCTCTTCTGAGAGACTTTATCCTCCACTGTAAGAAATTGGTGAATAATTTTTAGCCATAAATCAAACAATCCTATACATTATTCAAAATTTCAAAGATTCCTCTGGACTAAAAACGTCTGAAAATCATGATTGAGTATGTTTTTTTTTCATAAAACTCCTAATAAATAATTTAAAAACTTTCATTGACTGCACCCTGTATCAGACTCTGTATTGAAAAATATCACCATGTAACTCAGTTGATAATTTTAACTGTGAATCAAATAATAGGGAAACTGAAATAATAAATAAATAAATACCTTTCAAAGTCTTTTTAACTGATGCTGTATCCTTCTGTTTCACTGCTGTCTTCCCTACAGACAAGATGAAGATTTTGCACAAACTCATTAAAGGTAAATAAATCATGTACTACACCAGAATGGCTCTTCATAGTGTTGTCTTAAAATGAGAAAAAAATCAGTTTCCTTCTGATGGGAAAAAATGTCAAAAATTGAAGTGTTGATTGGGCAGAATAAGGAAGCCACAATATCCAGCTTAAAAACAGGAAAGTGGAGACATGTTTTTACCTTTTTTATTTTCTAACATATAAATAACTGAGACTAAGCCAAGAAAAGGACATTTTATTCATCAATTTGTAACATAACAATGGTGTAATAATTTCCCCTTATGTTCCCAAATAATGCTCTGGCTTACAAATACCACTTACTTGTAAAAAGGAGCCAAATAGTCATAATTTCAAAGTGGTTACCTGATTTTCCTTCTTTTTCTTTGGTCTCTGTGCTTTTCCTTTCTTTATGCTCTGTGCTTTCATGATGACCATGCTGCTTTAATTTTTCTGAAAAGAATTTTTTTAAGTTAAACACTGCAAATTAGGCAGCTGACTGATCAGCAAATGTCAAAAAAATTTGAAGTAACAGAATATCATAACAGTGTTTGACCTTCGTTTGAAATAGTACAGGCCAATTTGGCCAGTGTGCTCTGAAAGTTACTGGCCAAACCGAAAATGCACAAGCCAGACTTAAGCCAGCTTTATTACGAAGTTACTGGCCAAATATTCAAAGTGCAGGCCATGTGGTAATGACTCATGATGGAGATGTTATCATAAGCAAATAAAGAAAAAAAATTTAAAACCTTTTTTAAACCTAGAACTGTGTTTATTCTTTAGTCTACAGATTTTGCACATTCTAATCTAAATTAAACATAAACTATATGCATATTTATTTACCCCACTTTACCTAGAGATACTTTGATTAGATTTTTAATAAAATTTTCTGTACTTATATTTCTAAAATTTTCTGAACTTGTACTCCGTGAACATAATTTGTTTAATGAAATTTATATTTTGTATCTTTAAGTTGCATCATCACACCAAGAAATATTCATACAATAGATGCAAGGATTTAAGCTTCATGCTCTTTACTATATATTTGTACATAAATATATATATTTTTTGGGGGAATCGGCCGGGGTGAAATTGTCCTGATACCGATGAAGAGATAAAAGTCAGTATAAAGATCAATTTTGTCTTAAAAACTGCTCCACATCCTTCTCAGTCATTTCATTGTCTTCATCTGAATCACTATAACAGTCATCAAACCCCNCATCTGTGTCTGTACATAAAAATAAAGTTAATTCCTTTGAAAACCTAATACCTTAACATAAAATATAAAACAATTGGTAGGCTGAAATAATAAGAATTTGACATGGAAAACTGTTTATAAACTATTGTCAATAAATCAGATTACCTGACATAAAAAGATGCAAACATCGACTCTAAAAATGCACTATTGCCATGTTATGCATAAAAAGGTCTTCATTCAACAACATTCATTAAATGGGCATTTCAGTACAATCCCATGACAAATTGATTTTCCTTAACTCACCATACAGTCCCTGTATGAGTGGAGGTGGAGTGGAGCCATCTTGTAGAGAGAAGTGGGACACAAACACTAAAATCTTCACAAATGCATTACGAACCTATGGAACAGAAAATTATGTTAGAATAAATTTAATACATGAGTAGTAACTGTTTAACCTTTTTAAATTATTCATTCAATTTTTCATTTAAAAAATCCCATATTAATTTTTTCTATAATTTACACATCAAATGGTTTACTACTCAAGAGAGTCAAAAATGGCATCCAAATTCTCATCCACTTTGTATTTGTTTTCTTTTTCTTCTGAACTAGAGTGTTTAAAGTAAAGAAAATTTGTACACAACAGATGCATGATAGATAAATTATGCTATTTCCCCTTACCTCTGAGCTAGGGCATTCTAGGAGATATTCAGCAAATCTTGACGGGTGTGCAAAGAGTACATTGTGGGCAAACCAGCTGCGCACATTCTTGCTATGGCGGAGATGTATACTGAGTGCATCGTACCACTCTGTGGCTGGACCCCTGGAAAATTTTTTAAAAAAAATTTTTAGACAGAGGCATATCTTAAAGAAACAGCTCTATGGCAAGTACTCAAGTTCCACCAAGGTCGAAATGTTTGATACTAATTTATTAGTTTCATTTTATTTTTCATCTTTTTCAAAAAGATCATAACATCTCAGTGGCACCCTCATTGCTCTTTTATAAAACTTATCAATCAATGAAAAAAAATTCAACTCACAACGTGAATCTCATATCAAACACTTTATCATACCTGACAACTCAATACAACATTTCTGTGGGACTTTTCACTACACACATGTACAGAAAACAGACATTCTTAAAGCACTATAAGATAATCATCTTTACCTCAGTGTTTTCTTAGTGTGCAGGCCCACACTGAACAGGAACTTGGAGGCTACCTGGATGCTTATCATGGCTAACTCTTCTGCTTCTGGAGACTAAAATAGGAACAAACACTTGAAATTGTTAACCAGACAATTAAAAAACAAAGAATGAAAAACATTCATTCCAATCTTCATTTTTTCACTATGCTAACTTGAGAAAAATAACATAGATTCTAAACAAATAATTGCTTGGAAAAAATTGGAAAATGTTATTATTATTTTTCTGAAAAAAAAAATCATTATTTTGCTGTAGTATTTTTCAATTCTATATGGTTTAACTAAAAACATCAGAGAAGCATGGTTCTCCCCAGGATTTGAAAATAGCCCTTATTTTTTTTTTACGCAAGAGTACCGAAGCTCGCGAAGCGAGGCACAAAGGGGGCGGGGGGAGTCCAGGGATGTGCCCTCCGGAGGAAAAACTTTCATTATTTCATGCAAAAAGGGTGCAATCCCATGCAATCTGAAGCTGTCATTAAATCGTTACGACATAGCCCACTTGCAGGACCAAATTTTGCGGGAAAATCAGGGCTAGACACTAACTTTTATGAGCACCTGTCCGAATTTCAATCCAACCTGTCCAACAAAACTAATATTTTTTCTATTCATACCATTGAACTTTGTAAATAAATATGTGTAGTCATACATTTAATGCATTTATTGCCAAGACATTAAATTAAATGCGCCGGAAAATGCACCTTAAAGTGGATTTATTTTCAGATAAAAAGTTGTTTTTTCATACTTGTGAACTCTTGAAGATTTAATCTTGCATATAAGTCTGATTTAACATTATAAAGTTTCAATCAGGGCTTCTCCTAGGATTTTGGGTACAGGGTCTGCTAATTGTAAATCTCTGCAATTTGATAACAAATTCACATGAAGTTTAACCAAAGCAAAATATAAATACCCTGAGTGGCAGGTGGGGAGGGGGTACTGTTAGATTAATTTTATTAAAATATTCAAAAGTTCAATGAAAAATTAAGGAATATTCATCTTATAATACTTTACTTATATTTATGTTAACAATTTAACTTTTTAGGGGTTATCTTGTGTTTGATTTTCTTAAATATATGAGTTAAATAAAATCAGTATAAAAAAGTTCCCCTTTTTATTTAAATTCTCATATTTGTTATTACTAATTTCTTCCTTACATCAATACCACACTGTTATATGACAGCAATGTTAATTTATCATATTCCAGCACTAAATTTTTAACTGTAAATAATATAGGTGATGATAAAGTCATTAAAGAAAACATCATACAAAATTTCAGGTTATATTTTGGCAAATAAACAATATTTCAACAAGATCTTCAGTCCCAAAGATTTCACGTTCTGTAGTGATTAGATAGCATACAACGTATTTGATTGACAGGCAGTATGTTGCCTGGACAACGAACTAGATATAGCCAGTTCATCTAGTCCAATCTGGCTTTGTAACCAGCATAGTACTTGTGTTGTTTCTGTAACGGTCTGTCTCTCTAGAGCACGTAGATTTTTAACCAAATAAATATTCAGTAGTGAGCCTGTTATGTGAATAAATTTTGTCTGATGAAGTTCTGGAGGGTGTTCACTTTCATAACTTGGCGGTAAGTTTGCTCAGACTTCGTTTTGTGACTGCACGTGTTTTGTGCCAAAAGTAGGTCATTCTTTTCAGTACCGTGTAGGAGGAGACAAAAAGACGTTAGTATGCATTAAAAATGATTTTTAAAAAAGATTTTTGCTCCAAATTTCTCATAAACCATGACCTGTATTAAATAGCGTTGCATCTTTTCTGACATTTTCTCTTGCCGCATGGATACATTTATTTATAAATGATCACGACTGCTACTATTCTTCAGTCAAAATAACATGAAGGATTGACTATTTATTATATTTCTCCAAAAATATAGATAAAGCAAACAAATCTCACAGAATTACATTGATGACGAAACTAATAAGCGGATGTTGATATTCGAAACTTGTCAGTACGCAGGTCCCGCGCCCTCAACATAAGATGTTATACTTGTATTACTGCGCCAGGCAGAACAAAAATAAACAACTTAACGCGCACACAAGAGATCCAAGTACGCACACAATCGTTTTTATTTTACGGTTTACGTCGCGACTGTCAGGAATAAAGGCAGTAAAGGCATTGGTCACACACACACACTCTTAAAGGGTATCGGAGTTCAAAGAAGCGTATCGGCAAAAAAAATAGCGTATCGGGGCCGATACGCTATGAAGGCCTGGGGAGAACCCTGGAGAAGCCACTCACCAGTTTCTCCATCCCCGGTGGCAGGGCTAGGTACAAGTGGTTACAGGTGAGCAGTTTCTTCATGAACTGGAAATACTCCACACAGAACTGGTTCTTGTTGTGCATGAACTGGATATTCTGTTTCCTTACACACCGCTCTATTGCAGTAGGCATGGTCACTTGGTTGGTCTTGTTTTCTGCAAATATATAACACATAAATAAAGATGACTGCTGTTTGAGAAGTTTTTTTTTTTTAATTTATTTATTTTTATTTTTTAGCACAGACTCTCAAGCATCATTAGACAAAAAGTTGTGATAAATACCCTATCTCCTGAACTGAAAATCATATATTTGTAAAATGGCAGTTGTAAAATGAACCAGAAAAAAATTTTTCATTAATAAAACACTTCAATAACATATAAAACTGTACATTTTTATAATCAGTATTTCCATCAGCTCACCTATGGTTAAATCCTGCATGCTCTTGCTCATGTCAAAGTCAGTGTGGGAGGTATATGATATGTCCATCCTCTCATATATCAATATGTAGGCATTCCACCATCTCTTCTGTCTCCTATATGACATTCTGGAATTGAGAGTCAAGAATGGGTTAGATATATAGTACTTATTGATACCATGATATCAGCAGGAATCATTGGGCAGGTACAAAACTAAAAGCTGAGATGCAATCTTGAACTGTTCAACCTCTAAACCATCACTATCAGGTTTTACTAAACTTCATCAAATCTTATTTTCAAACAGACTGAAAACTAGGAATGCATACAAACCTATTTCCCTCTTAACAAAATCAGCAATTATTATTTTTATATTTATCACAGGTTCTTCTCATGTACAAAAAAAAAAAAAAAAACAAGGCAGCAAAGCTGTCAAATGTACAGACAAAAAGCAGGAAATAACTATGCACAAAATAGGCTAATGTCAATTCTGATGCAAAAGTACATTATGTTAAACTGCAAATTTAACATCAAATTTTAATTATGCTCAACAGGTAATACCAATGTAAGTAAAATGTGTAACAAGCATAAGGCTTCAGGCCCATGGGAGTTCAAGTTCACACTTTGAACATGTATAACTTCCAGAAAAAGAAGCCAATTAGACTGCTTTTCCAACTCAGGCTGCATGCCGATTTCGAACTTGACTTGCGTTTTAGTAAGATCAATTACTCCTGTGAGTTTCATGACAACAAGCCTATCGGTTTTTCTTGAAATGTGTTTACAGTGTTGCATATATGCTGAAAAGTGAAAAAAAAAA